AAACACCCGATGTAGAAGTTCTACCAACTTTAAAAGGAGTAGATGATCAGCATTTATGTTATTCTTTGTTTTCAGGATAATACTTATGACCGCTACTGTACTAAAACAATTAAAGTCGATATAGGAAAATTCAATAGCTCGCAAGTTTTTGATGAATAATAAAGAGTACCGCAACTAATTTTGATAGTGTGTTGTAGAAATGGCTTAGTTTAATTCACTTTGTGCTTTCATCATGCGTTGCTATATTTGTTTCTACAACTGTGAATTCATTATCACTATTCTCACTGTCACTCTTTTAAGCGAATGGCAGTTCCTTGATCTAATTCCTAAAGAATGCTCAACTCAAAGGATTGAAAAGAAGCCGATTCTGTTAATAAAGATGTTGTTAATGCTTTGCATTTATTCAACCGTATACTGAAAAAAGTCCATCTTTAACCATATACCTGCTGTAGCTTGATATATAACGACGTAAAATGAAGCGTAATTAATGTAATCTGTGGTCGACTAATTTTGTTGGAATGTAAATATTTCCATGTTTCTTCCGAGAAACCTCCAAAATAAACTCTTGCAATTCTTCCACATTGTACTAAAAGGATCTTCCCAAGAATCGGCAAACAATTGAATAAAGATCCTTCGTCTAGATTTTGAAACTTTCTTGACGAATTTCCGTGGGTAATTTCGCCATTTTTCTAAATTAGAAAAAATGATTCTTCTCGTGGCTGATAGCACATCAATTCTTAATTTAAGCATGTCGTATAACTGTTTCGTGGCTCATGCTACATATCTCGGCTATGGGCTATTTCTTCTTTCGTCGTCTTTATCCTCGTCCTCCTTCTTTCTCCTTTTATTATCTTCCTTCTTCTGTCATCTTCCTCCTTTTATTATAGTCATCCTCTTTTTTGTCTTCCTCCTTTCCTTTTGTTATCTTTCTTCTTTTGTTGTCTTCCTCCTTTCTTTTTCCTTTTGTCGTCTTCCTTTGTTTTCTGATCTAATTTGGCAATGTTCTTTCGACACTGATAGGTTATACCTGTTGCCTTGACTGCCCTTGTTAAAAGACAACATTTTTATCAGGTCAGATTAATCGATCAATTTATCTAGTTGTTTACTAATTATCTTTAGTTGTTTTTACTCCGAATGAAGGATCATATGCGTGATTTTCTATGTGGTTTGATTGGATGGGGTTTGATTCCGTCAGCTTTTATATTCTTGTTTGTTTATTTTGCATTTCTAAGGCTTTTTATGACGGTAACGGGATTACTTCATTTCTCCGTTTCAGTTGTGCTAGTGCTAGACTAAAATCTTTTTTCATCCAATCAACTGTACGGATGTTCATTTATAACGTTTCACGTGTTTGACTCGAAGCACGTAGTAATTTGGCTGAAACACAAAATTTATGAATTTATTAAATACAGTGGCTCACACAAAAAAACTGAACAACAAAAAAGAAACCGGCGAGAAATTGGTGGAGAGTTAACTTTAAATATTAATTATTCTCCAAATTTAATTTACACTTTTTTTAACGTCAATTCTGACCGAAGAAATCAACTTCTAAAGATAAGTAAAAATGCTCTATTATTCTCATTATGCCATATATAGAGCACATTGTCTTTACTCGACGCAATAATACTACACTTTTTTTCAATGCCTAGGAAAACGTTCCCGAATACATGCTCTCCGAGGAGAAGGATACACAGTCCGAGAAATTGTCGCATCAGAATAGGTTCGCTTAGCTTCCGTCCTTCGAATATGCCGAAATTAAAATCTGGTTATCCATACATCTTTTCGGATCGTTACAGCGAAATACCGTTCGACTGATAACGTCCGGAAAATGCTCCATCGCTGTTGAAGTCCACTGCTCAAAGACGCATAGAAAAAATTGACCTTCCTGGGTGAAAAAAAGCTATTCGTATCGAAAATATATTTTTCATATCGTTATTTTTGTTGTTCTAATGCTAACACTAACGTTAATTAACGTTTTTTTACGTACATGTTGTAGGAATTCAATAAATTATTGAAGATATACTGTACATGTACATTGTGGTATTGTAGTATTGTTACCGGGTTAGAGCTAATGTCGTTCATCTCACAATTTTGGCAGTCTACTTTATTCGCTCCAAATTCTAAATTTTAATTTCTATTTTTATTTCGCTTTTGTTTTCTAATTTTTTTTGCTCCTTAATTCTATTTTAAGTTCTCTCTTAAACAATAGAGTGCCTTATGCTTTAAATTCTAAAATAATACTTCCCAATGAAATTAAAAAGATGTATATATAGTTCTCAAGACATTAATAAAACTTCAGAATTAATTGCGCACAATCCTTCTCCAAAGCAATAGATTGTGGTTAGAATCTTTGATCCAGAAATGCATTGTTATTGAAAAACGCTTTGTTATTAAATAGTTTAAGCTTTAGCTAGAAAAAGCAACGATTGAAGTTAATACTGAAGATGAGAACCTGTCGTGTAAAATATAGACCCCGAAATCGCCTTACCTAAAACCACACATCACTTCGTATGCATGTTAAAAAATCACGAGCCTAATATGGGCAACCAAACAAATTATTAATTCTTGCCTATGTAGATGATATTCCATACTAATGCCTGTGGACCATATAAGTTTTTCGTTTGTCAAAACTATCTATACCAACACACTAATCTCAACATTAACTCCATGATCCGGTTTCATTTGTCCCAATAATCGATACTATTCTGGATAAATAAAAATGGTCGTCAGTTATACTTATACGAAGTGTCAGAAATGGACAACATTAACCTTAGTAAAATGGTAAAGCTCTGCCAAAAGTTTGTGTTGTCCACCTTCCGTGATGCTAATAAAATCCTCAGAAATCCTGAGCGAAAAAATCAGGTATTAGTTTGTAAACCCAGAAGTCCATTGCAAATGCTCAACCACTGAAAATACCTAATCATCTCGTCCGGAACTTTATCCAATAATCACCAGGAGCGTGTCACTAGATGTTCATCATCTGTTTACGTCATCATAATTTAACGGTAACACCTAAAGGCATCAAACATGTAGATCTTCCAAAATTCAAAAATTCTGAAAATTCTTTCTAATATAAGTAATACGTATAATTTCGCATATTAGAAAGAATTATACGTATTTTGCATTCTATATAGTACATGTATTACGGCTCGGGTGAAAAATATCATTATATGGTCGGCGTAAGAGAAAAAATTTTTGTAAATTAACATGAGAAAAGCTCGTGCGATTTTTTTTTGCTGAATCGCGTGACTTTTATCCTATATCCTTCTCGGGAAGTCTACGAACAGTGCTTAGAGACATGGCCTTCAAAAGTCCACGCTCACGTGATCACAAAACATTGACATTTTATCGTTTGTATTAGGGTTAAGATTAGAGGATAAAGTTATAAGTAAATTGCTTTTCCGACATTTTTATTAGTACTTTAAGTTAGATTTTGACATCTGTTTTCCACATTTTCACATATTTTATTTTCTTGTGACAAAGAACACGTGATTCAGCACTGTTCGTAGACTTCACGTTCACGTGATATTTAACCAATCATATGCATCATTTCAAGCACATCAGCTACATGTGAGAATTGCGAATAAATTAGCACTTTCATTAAAAAAGCACGTGCGCGTTACAAAATGGAAAGGCTAATTTTTTAATAATGCGAAAATTAGATATTCACAGTGGGCGCAGTATTACAAATGGTGACACGAAACTATATTACCTAGTTTAAGTGAGAAAATTTTAAGATTTTAATTGGAAAATAAGAGAAACTATTCCTGAAATCGTCTGCACTATTGTAAGAAGTCCTAAAAAGATCGAAAAAACAACAAAATAATAATCCACCGGTTTATAAAGCCGTCTATGATTGGTTTCTCTTTGAAACCGGAACCAAAATGAGTTGATTTTTCTTTCAAATCTGAAAAACTTATCAGCCAACAAAGTGTAGCCAAGACTTTTTGTTCTTCCGTAATTAAGTTTAAAAACTGCTTCCTCTAAACCACCAGCCCCTCTCCAAATGTCATAATCGCGCATGATATCCTTAGATTCTTTGTTGTCAATTAGGAACGTAAATGTTTTTAGTATTTCCATTCCAGCCATCTCTATTCCATACAACTGAGCAACTCGATTATGCATATAACTAACCATAAGCTCTTGGCGATCAAATTCGTAACTGCAGATACTGACTTTGTGTCCCTTAAGTTCAAAGTGTTCATTGAAATATGTTGTCACTTCAAAATCCAGTAAAAAATTCTTCATTTTGTCCATGGATAAATCAATACTACGATTGATTGAGGGAAGGGGTCCTATGTTTTTTTGTTTATGCGACAATACATTACGTCCATACGGAAATGCTGAGTAAACTAAATTCTCGAAGAGTACGTTCTCATCCTCTGCTTTGCTAATGTTGAGCAGAGAACAGAAAACATAATTAATATAATAAGTGCCAACAGCTTCTCCTAGGGGATATTCTTTTGATTCTGGCTGTAAATTGTAGAACTTAATAAAATCAGACGTTCTAGCTTTGTTGCTATTTTTAAGAACAAATCTTGTCATTATAATCAAATGCATAACGTAGCGGTCATATGTTTCTTCTTTCGGTTTTAAATTAGATGTATAAAGACCGGCCAGGACAAAACAGGTTTTTTGAAGCCATAACAAAATGTCTTGATTGAATTTTTCATCTGGATCATCAAAAAGTTCTCCAAATAATTCTTTTGCAATATTCTCACTGACTGGTAAAGGATAAGGATAGGCAAGTACACTTGACGACTTTAGCTCATTGGAATCAGAATTGTCAACCTGTGCGCATAGGAAAAGTATTGGAATCGAAACTGTTAATGCGCGCAAAGGAAAAGAGTGCAAAAAAATTATCGTGTATACTTACAGGTTGACCTTGTGCAGCATAATCGACAATGACTGAAATATGATCCTCGGCAGAAGACATGAGAGTTTAATGAGGTTAAAAGGAGATGTTTAAAATGTGGTAAGAAAAGCAAATGAGCGATTTATATCAGATTTTAATTTCCAAATGGAAGTACAAAATTACATACACCTTGTAATCAGTTACGCAGTTGGAATTCTGAAAAATACTTCTAAACTTTTATGAAAGTTTCGGAAATAAAATTCCAGTAAATTTTATCGCTATATATTTTTGATATCGATATACGTACAGCGTATAGTGGCCATTCTATGTTTGCATCGCGTAAATAAAAAATATTAATTAATGGTAATACATGTATCTCGTTATTAATATTAACATGTCAAATAAATATATACAAAAACCAATAAGGATGCGTAAATTTTTGATCAACTCGGCAAAACAAATCCGAAGCGCGGGCAAACACATGAAAAATGACGGAAAACAGATGCTTAAAACTATCTTGGTATACTAATAAAAAATGTCGGGGAGGCAATTTTATATAAAAACTTGATCACAACTCTAACCCTAAGCTTAAAATCAATCTTTAATTAGTGGTGCGTTTTTTTGACTGTTAGTTCGTTAAAAAATTTCGTTAAACTCTAAAAATAAAAAAAGTTAATATAAATATGGGGTGTTTGAGAAAGTAAAAGAGAGAACATTTGATCCATAATGCCCAAACTGATCCTACCAAAATTAGTTATTCAAAGAATAAAAATCCCCGAAAGATCTGTAAAACGGTAGCCGTTAATTCATCAATTTCCATTTTCGTTTCATTCTACGTACGTAACGTATGACATGTAAATTTGTTATTAATAATTCAAAGCTGCGTAATGAAAAATTTTCGGTTTTCCGCTGTTCTTGATTTTGGAAAATAAACCTTCTTTGGCGGTGATCAGCCGAAAGTCAACTATTCGTAATGACAATATTGGGAAATCTTGGGGATTTATTTCCTTTATTCTTTTATATATTTAGTAATTTAAATTCAACACTTCCCCCCAAAATCCTCTTACTTCCAATATCCTCCTTATTTCTTTTGATTTTTTCACATATCTAAATCTGGATAATTTTCATAAAATACCATTTGTTGAATTTTTCATTGTCCGTCAGTATCAACAAAAGTTGTTGAGCACATTATTAATTGCTTTCTTATAGGTTCCAGATTCATTCTCCTTGTAAAAAGCATGTCTTTTGCATATGCTACATGATTTGTACTATTATCAAAGGCAAAGACTGTTGTTACATTGGGAAACTTCACTTTAAAAATATGTATTATTTTATATTTGATTTGCTCTGATAAATATTTAATTTTTCAGTAATCTTCTTAGGTTTTTCAGATGTGAGATAGCAATATGCCTTTATGAAAATATTTGGATAGAGTATTGTTTCTTTTTCACTTAGTCTCAATTGATCATAGACTTTTGAAAGGAATTCACTTATCATAATTGATCTTTCATTTCTCTTTTTCTACAATAGTATCCTCCCATTTGATATTCAAATTTTCCTCTTTCCATTATTTGAATAAAAAATATACTTGTTATAGATAACAAGAATTAATTTTGGTTTCTTTATTTCAAGTAGAGCTCCAAAAAGCTCAGCTCATTGACTCATATACAACTTGCATACATATAATTTAATTAATAGGGTTTAAATTCATATTATTAAACTATATATAAAATTTAAACTCAAAAGATTCGAGAGCTGGCTTGTTAGAAGTCCCAATTACAAGTACTAATGGAATTATCTCCATGTTTTTCCTTCATATCTTACTATTTGTTGTTTTAAATTTTTTATATTCTCTAAAAATTTATTCTGATATATAATGATATTTTTCTATTCATATCCATTAAAGTATATTTCTTTTTAGTATTCTTTGAACTAACATTCCAAAATGTTTAATTATCTTTCTGTAGTTTACAAACTGATTATTTTTCTGGTTTCTATACACTTTGACAAAATTATATTATTAACAAACTGTTTAAATCAAAATAAACTAATGTCATTTATTTTTAATTTTTACCATATTCATTATTTATATCTCAATGTGATATCTTTATTATTAATAAGTCACTTGTATTTTTGATATTAATCACAATGAAAAAGTGAGAATAATTTATAATATAATCAAAGAGTAAATATTTTTAGTTAATAAAATATAAACTATATGTATTACTTTTTTGTTTGCTTTTATCTTATTATCTTCATTATCTAGTCATATAAATTCAATATAAATAGCACATCATTCATTATATTTGAAAACTATAAATATTTATTTATTCTTTAGAAGATTTTTCTAAAGTTAGATAATTCTTTCACAAAATGCAGAAGATATTTCTTCTTCACCATTATCTAACCTAGCTGAAAATATTGAATATACAAAAAATGTTAAAGATATTGAAAATATTGATATTAAATATAAAGATATCAAAAATGTCAAAGATGTTGATGTTAAATATGAAAATATCAAAGATGCTAAAGATGTTGATGTTAAATACAAAGATATCAAAGATATTAAAGATATTGATATTAAACATGGAGATATCAAAGATATTGAAGATATTAATATTGAACACAAAAATATTGAAGATGCTAAAAATGTTAATATTGAATATAGAGATGTCAAAAATGCTGAAAATATTGATATTGAATACAGAAAGACTGAAAATTCCAAAGATATTAATGTTGAACATGAAGATATTAACGATGCTAAAGATATAAAAGATATTGAAAACACACTGGCAAATACACTTAAAAGTCCACTTGCCAAAAGATCTAAAGATCTATCTGCAACTCCAAAAAAATTGATGATTTTATAAATTCTCTTTGCAGCATTAGCAAGTATGCTAGAGGTACCAAATTTATGATAATATGTTGTTTTTGATACTCATTTTATTGTTCTTGTGTTCTCTATCTTTTTCCATATACGAGTTATAACAAGTAATAAAGAAGTTTATACATTTATAAAATACAAACGTTTGATGACTTTAGATTTTATGCACCATATTGATGCGTATTTATGTTAATCATAATTTAAATAGTTCATGTTTAGTTTAGCACATTTAACTTTTTATTTTATGACTATAAGGTATTGGTTAATCTCTTTAAGCTAAACATATATACTGTACTCGTTATTTTTTATTTAAAAATAAACGGATTTTATTAGTAAAAAAAGTTACGTAGGTCAATGGTTTAAATTAGTGAATACTTTTTAATATAAGCAAAATATTATATCTAATTTTTGTACCATTTTAACTACAAAGGCATTCTTATTATAACGAATACCTCGGGCAATGTTCATTATATCAACATCACTATGTTTATATGATAATTTTAATATTATTTTGTAAAATTCTGGTTCCTTATAACGCAAATTTACTCAATGACCGTTGTATAAATAGTTCTTTACAAGTAGACTTTCATTAAATCGGAAGCTAAAAGAAGGAAATTATCTGTTTAAGATTTTCTCAAATAAATTCAGTTAATTGAGACATTAATTCGTGTTTTATCTAAGAAGTGCGTACTATTATCCAAAATAATCAGCGCTTCCCATTTATAGTTATATCACCACCACTTAGACTATTAACTGTTATCAAATAATTACAAGCAAATATTGTTTGTAGATATGTGGTGGCTCCAGAGAGATACAACTACATGTATACGTAATTGGAGTGCTGATCACTTTGGATAATAAAAGTTTGACGAATGAAGGAGAATTAAACCCAAATCTGCATTTCCAATGAAGTAAAATCTCTCAATTTTTAACTAAATGGCTTGAAATTTTATTAAAAAAAAAACTTTGAGATTAAGCTTTTTTTATTTCACTTAGTCAATATAAATTTATAAGTATAAAAAGTGAATCTGATTTTCGAATAATGTCAATTGCCCTATGATCTTTGTTCTAAAAAAAAACGGTAAGCTTGAAAACTCAAAATTTACATATATATTAGTTTTAATATATATTTAATATTCTAATCTGAACGTTTTTAACTAAAAAAAAATAAAATTCGCGATACTTTGATAAATATTATTCTGATTAAAATGAAATTACTACCAAAATGTTCGTCTTATTAGGTGAATATAATAAGACGAAATTACAAAAATCTGATAAATAGTTATCGAAAAAATAAGTTTTGAAAACCTGCAATCAGGAAAATGACTTGCGGTGATTCACCACATTTTTATTTTCATTATCTTGCTAGAAATCTATCGCTATTATTTATATATTTTGCTTCTATAAAAAATGTTATTATTATAGTAAAATTTATATTACAATCTCACAGCCATTACTTTCGCCGGTGACTTTACATTACATACACGTCGGTAATGTGTCTGATGATTCTCATCATCAAATTTTAGTAATTCGATGCATGAAAAATGAAAGACGACATACCGATACCGATACGTAGTTTGTCATATTTAAGAGCGTCAACGTTTAACTAAACGACATTTTACAACGACAACAACGTCTTACGTACCAGTATGACGAACAATCAAGTATTCAAATAGGCAATAACGATAATATTGACATATAAATTAAACTAGGTAATTGAATGAACTACCAATTGTTATATAAGAACTAAATACACATAAATAGGATAAGTTAGAAATGCTTTTGCTCGTTATGCTTTAACTCAAACACAGTTAATATCGATTCCATAATTATTGTCAGGATTCCTAATGTTTAGACTTTTAAATTAAATCATCGATAATAAAAATGTTAATTAAAGGATAAAGTAGTTATCATTTTTCTTTTTGACATTGTTTTGCAAGATATTCGATATCTCTTCATCGTCTTTGATTTCATCTATCCCGTTGATCTTGCAAGCTACTCTCATTCTCTTTAATTTCATGTGGTATACTTAAGGATGTTAAAAAAAGGTCCAGTTCAGTCCGATTCCGCCCAAAGAACTAGACGGGACTGAACTGATGCAGAGGATTGACCAGACTAGACCAGGGAAGGATCAAACTGGGTTTGATAATGCAACAAAGAATTGGAATGGACCAAGACTTCAGGTCACTTCACGTGATTATGAGTCAAACTTAATATGGACGTCATACTTGGTGTTAGTAATAGACTCATTAATCAAGTTTTAAACAATCGCTTTAATAAAATAAGAATAATACCCAAACTAGATACTGTATATGGTGTTAAAGCTGAATCTTCTATGGACATTTTTTTGATCATTTATTTATGAAAACTCCGAAAATAAAGGTGAATTTGTTTTTAAAAAAATTCGTAGAAATAAATCACGTCTTGCAGTGATCCGGTCCTGGATCAATTCAATTCTGGATCGATCCTGTCCTGAATTGATCCTATCCTAAATCAAGCCTATGGATGGACTATCATCCTATATATCAGCTCGGACTGAACCTTTAACATCCCTAGTAATTTGGAGTAATTTAACATAACGATAAATATCCTTTTAAACAATAAATGATAAACAAATTGATTCCAATAAATAGCCAAGAGTTATTTAATATCAGCGTTAGCGGTTAATGCACTTGTTCCTTTTAAAAGTGTATTGGTTAAGTTTTATGGTCTTCGTATGACCGGTCTTGAAACAAATTAAAAAAGAGTCTTTTATTATCCTCTTTAGCAGACAACAACGATAATATTAACGTTAATAAACATAACAAGTAAGAGATACCAATTTTGCAAACAATAAAAATTAATATAAAGTATGTACGTATGTGATCTTCCATAATTTTTAACTATATACATGTATAATGAAGCCTTGCATGAACAATCAAGTACGTAAATGAATTACATGTAATTACAAATCGGTAATAATATCGAGATTAATGAATATAGCATTATTAATAATACATATAATTTCTTGATGCAAACTCAATTTTCTACTACATATATGTAATATTAACAAATTTACAAGTACATAATAAATGAAAATAATAACACGAAATGATTATAATATAAAATATATTGTCAACCACATACATGTATAAAGCGCAAAGATTAAGAACGTAACAAATTGCTTTTATGTTATAAGAGTATACATAAAGAAATAAATATAACGATAAATATATGCTTCAATACAAAAAGTTGATAAAAATAGAAACTGCTTTAAAATCTTATTTAGATTAAAAAGATATACTGATTATTATTGTCGACTTAATTTATGTTGTTTACTTTGATGAAAACGATTCGTCATGAATCTGTGGTTATTTTTTGCAGAGATATCAGCCTTTTGATTTTGTAGATCTTTACAATGCTGCTATTAAAATCCTTTCTTTTCCTTCGACTTCATGTGGAATACTAAAATTGAAATCTTTTTGCACACCAAAGAAAAATAATAACGAATTAAAGAAATTGATGAAAAAAATAGTATTAAAATGCAATTTTACCTTCGTTTGGAACAAACAAACTGACACTTGTAGAACCTTAATATCCAAAATAAATGTTGTAATCAATATAAAATACCAATATGATTTATATTTCAAAATAGAAAGTACTGTACCTATATCAGTATCAGTTGGAATAGAAATTGATTTTATAGTAAAGAAAGATTCGACTGGTGTAAACAGCATTTGGATGGTGTTTTTGTTTTTTGTTTATATTTGTATGAATAAATTTTTGCAATTTCATCTCCTCATCAAGTTCTTTCTACTTCTGCGTTTCTAATTTAAGATACTCTTTAATTTCTTCATGTGTTTTTGGATATTCTAAGGAAATGTAGTACTGAAAATGCATAGCATTCAGTTTCCACAAAACTGAATTGTTATTGTAAAAAGAGTAGATGAAGTCGTAAAGTTCCTCAGCAGTTGGTCTGTTTTCTGGAATATGATCCCAACATTTTCAATAATAAATTTGCATCATCCGGGAATAGTTTCTGGTATCTTAGGTCGTTCTGCTTTATGAATGCTAATTACAGGACTTATACATGACTTCGTTCACCAAATGGACATTCACCGGTGGCAATCTCGTACAGAATCATCCCAAAACTATAAATATCTGCAGCTATAGTGTGTGGCTTTCCATTTAGTACATGATGTACATCTTATAGTAGACATATGTCAAGGAGTACGACCTAAGATACCAAATAATATTTCTGGATGGTGCAAATTTATTATTGAAAAATGTTGGGATTCCATTCCAGAAAACAGACCAACTACTTTAGAACTTAAAGATTTTATCGACTCTTTCGACTCTAATTTTCAGCTGAATACTCTGCATTCTCAGTACTACAGTCCTTTAGAAAATCCTAAATCACGTGAAGAT